ATCCACGCTGACTTGTGCCCAAATTGCAGGCACAGCCCTGGAGTTAAAGTAAGTGACAGTTGTTCCCAAGAGGAAATTTGGAGTGGCACTACCCAACAAGGAAGCAAATGGATGCTGCATAGTTAAAAAACAAAACAAAACACACACACACAAGGAATGTTCACAATAATGAGAAAGATGGACTCACTCAAATGTTAGGGAAAGAGAAATCATAGTTGAAGAAAAGGCAGTGAGAAAGAAATCAGGCACATAAGTTTGGACCCCTTGGCCTCCATCAAAGTGAGTATCTACACACATAGGTGTGTATAAGGGGAAGAAAACCTTCCTATAAGGAAAAGTTTCAACTTGATGGCTTTACCACAGATACTTAAGAAATAATTCTGATCTAACCCAACACGTCCAGAGAACAAAGAAGCTTGTTTTATCAAACTAGCATAACTTTGACACAAAAATCTGACTGAGAACATTATAAAATAGGAAGATAACAGGTCAGTCTCTACCTCTTCCATCAGCACTTGCAGAAAATACTAAACAAAATAGTAGCAAATTAAATCTAGTGATACATGAAAAGAGTATGTATGACAGGTTACTAAGTTGCAGTGATTTCAGAATGCAAGGTTGGTTTAACTTAATTTGAATAAACAATTTATTCACTATGTCCCAATAGATGGGAAATTCTATTTTTACAAAAACAAAAACAAACAAACAAAAAAAACCCAGCAAATATTCTTAATGGTGAAATGTGGAATGCTTTCTCTTTGAGATGGGGAACAAGATAAGGATGCCCATTCTCACCAATTCTATTCAGTAACCTGTGTCCTAGATATTGTAGGGGGCAGTGGGGGTTGGTGGGCAGGGAAGAAAGGAAGGGGTAGAGGTAAAAAGGGAGAAAGAAAAAGAAGGGAAAGCAATAGGATTGAAGAAGCCCAGGCCCTGCCTCATGCAGCTAAATCTGGATTTCTGGGGGTAAGACCCAACCTGCAGCCCAATTTAAGAGCCAATGCCCTGACCACTTTTTATAAGTATATATAAGGAAGTGTCATGGTGGCATCACAATCACTTTATTTTTCTTTTGAAGAAAATGGTATTTATTTCTGAACACAGTCTTCCAAAGAAAATGTTTGCTTATTTGAGTTGGTACTAACTTGAGGTTGGTGTTTTTCTATTATCTACTCCAATATCAACTACTCTAAATGGACATAAATACATAATGTATGCCACATAGTAGACACTCAGCTGAATGATTGTTCTGATCAATATAATGCTATATAGTGTTACATAAAAGGTAATATTCCTTTTAGCATTACTATTTTTTGTTAAAAATTGGGCAGAACAAGATAACTCTTCTTTGACTCAGAAGCTCTACCTATAAAATTATTGGGCTAAATAGCAGTTATTTCCAAGGAATACATTTGCTAAAACTCTTTCTATTTTGAAGAAGAAATAATCGTGGCCTTTTGGTAACACTGTAATTTTATCATTTTGCCTCAATATCTAATAGCATTAAAACAATTACTGTTTTAAAAAGTGATAAGGATTGGAAAGGAAGAAATAAAACTATCACTGCTGATAACATGATTATATACATAGAGACTTAAATTTACAGATAAATTAGAATTAATAAGTTAGTGAAGTAGCTACAGACTGCAGTTATCTTTATACCAACAACAATCAGAAAATAAGGAATATTGAAAAATTCAATTTATATTAACACAAAAATGCCACACACCAGTGTATGAGTCTAACAAAAAGTATGTAAGATCTGTATACCAAAAACTATAAAACATTGAGAGAAATTTTAAAAAGAAATGAGTAGGAAGATATGTACCATATTCATGGACTGGAAGATTCAGTATTATAAAAACTTCTTCCCAACTAGGTCTGTAGATTCAGATTCTAACCATTTCTAAATAAGCATCAACAAGCTGATTGTATACTCTTTATAGAAATGCAAAAGCCAGTCAAAACCAAGACAGCTTCTAGAGGAAGGATATCAGTCTCCTAGATGTTGTGACTCATGTAAACCTGGAGTCACAGAGATAGTCTGGTCCTAGAACAAGGACAGAGAAATTGAGCAATGGAGTCAAGACAGCTCAGAAGCAGGCCCACATCTTTGGACACATCTCTGGTTGACAAGAAAGGTCCGATTGCCAGACAGTGGAGACAGGATGGTCTTCTTAACAGAAGGAGTTGGGACAGTAGGCTGTCCACACAGGGAGATGACCTCACACCACACACAAAACTCAGTAACAAGTGGCTTGTGAATCTCTAAGAGGGAAAACAGTAAAGTTCCTAGAAGTAATAAGAGGCAGTATCATTATGGCCCCCACGTAGAATACACATGTTCAAGTTCCACAAAATATGCAAGTGGGAAAGACTGGCTAAAAATTGGTTAAATTTGACTGTATTAAAATCAAGAACTGTTGTTCATCAAAAGACACCACTAATCGAGCCCATAGGCAAGTCACAGAGCGAGAGATGTCTGTAGTACAGATTGCCCCCAAACAATTCTCTACCCAGCATCCATGAAGAACCACAAATTAAAAAGAAAAGAATGACAGCTCTGTAGAAAAGCAGGAAAGAGACTTGAACAGGTGTGCCCTGAAAGAAGATACCCAGATGGCCAGTGAACACAGGAGAAGGTACTCAATTGAATTAGATATTATCAGGAAAATGCAAATCAAAACCACACTGAGCTATCACCTCACACCTGTTAAGATGGCTGCTCTCAAAAACAAAGGACAGCAAGTATTGGCTAGGATGTGGAGACAGGGCACCTTTGTGCAGTGTGGTATAAATTAGTACAGCCATTATGGAAAACAATGTGGACCTGCCTCAAAAAATTAAAATAGAACTACCATATGATCCATCAATCCCACTGCTGGGTATATATTCAAGATAATTGAAAACAAGGTTTGGAAGAAGTATCTGCTCTCCTGTGTTCACTGCAGCGTTATTCACAATAGCCAAGGTATGGAAACAGCCTAAGTGTCTATTGACAGAGGAATGGATAAAGAAAACGTGATGTGTTTGCACAGTGGAGTACTATTTAACCACGGAAACAAGGAAACTGCCATTTGCGACGACATGGATGAAGCTGCAGGACATTATGCTATATGAAATAAGCCAGGCACAGAAAGGCTACACGATTTATTCCTCTCATATGCGGTATCTAGAACCGTCAAAGCCAAAAACAATCAAAGCAGAGAGCAGAATAGAAGTTGCCAGCGGCTGGAGGGAGAGGGAAACGGAGTTACCAAGTTCGGTGGACATAAAGTTTCAGTTGTATAAGCTGAGGAGGCTCTAGAGCTTTGACACACAACATCGTGCCTATAGTTATAATAGAGTATCGTGCTTTTAAAAATGTGTTAAGACAGCAGATCTCATCTTCAATGTTTTTTCCACAATTAAAAACAATAACGAACCACAGTGAGACGCCATCACACGGTCCTAGGGGTGCTCAGAGGCTGCCGATGGTGGGGGCATTGACTCCACTTGGGGAAGCAGCTTAGCACCCCTACATAAGGCTAAAGGGGATTGCAGCTCCCCACTGGCGTGTGCCTGGCGGGACACGGGCCCGCGCACACTGTGCCTCAGTTTTAGTCGTGGTCCCACCCGGCCACAGCCCAGCCAGCACCAGCACAGAATGGATGTGTGCATCGTGGTGCAGTTGTGCAAACACAACAAGGACACATCTCACAAACACAGGTGAGAGAGCCCAGGCACCAGAGAATAGAGTACCATTCCATTGATAGAACATGCAGCCCTGGACCATGGTGTTTAGAGAGACAAACGGTAAGGTCGGAAAGAAGAGCAGTGGAGGAAATGCTTGTCAAATTAGTTTACCTTTGTTGGGCCAGGCCGGGGATGGGGGCCAAGGGAGTTTGGGGGCACAGGGGAGGGCATCAGGGCCCTAGTAATCTCCCCATTCTTCCCTTTTATTTTTTAAACAGTTTTCTTTTTTTGTGTGCATTTTCTTTGTGTGTTTTAAAAAGACAAAGTGGACTGGGCATGGGGGCTCACGCCTGTAATCCCAACACTTTGGGAGGCGAGGCCAGCGGATTGCTTGAGCCCAGGAGTTCAAGACCAGCCTGGGCAACATGGTGAAAGCCAGTCTCATATGAAAAACAAAAATTATCCAGCTGTGGTCCCAGCTACAAGGGAGGCTGAGGTGGGAGGATTGCTTGAGCCCGGGAGGCAGAGGTTGCAGTGAGGTGAGATTGCGTTACGGCACTCCAGCCTGGGTGACAGCCCAGACCGTCCAAAAAAAAAAAAAAAAGGTTGGGTTGCAAGTGAGGAAAACTGGGCTCCAAGGCCAATTAAGTTTGAGAAACACTGTCCTGCCACCTCTCAGATGCCCGCAGTCCTTGTGAGCCTGGTGGAGGCTCCGTGAGCTCCTGCACAAGGCACTGTGAGACTTGGTTAGACTGCTGGGGTTCTGGATTCCTCCCACAAGGTCACTGACCAGCCCTGGCTGCGCTTCTGACCATACCAAAGACTGGGGGTCTGAATCTGAAGGCTCCAGGCTCCTGCACACTCCTGGGCATGGAAGTGTGTACAGCTCACTACTTAAACTCTAATTTTTAAATTTCCTTGAATAACTTTTGTCCAGTGCAAGATAGACAAGAGCCGTATCTTTCCGGAGCTGTCCGTGCAGGTGACAGACAGATGACAGGCAACAGCCGCAGCTGATGGTCACATGCTGCAGAGGACACAGAAGGAAGGGTGGTGCTGGTTCAGCTGCAAGGGACACTATGGGAACCGGGACCTGGAGTTGTGAAGCTGGTGGCCCAGAGACCTGTGGGAGGGGTTACAGGAAGCAGCAGCCGGAGCTGGGCTGAGCTGCAGGCAGGCAGGCGCCTGGTGTGTCAGGAAACAGAGAAGACCAGCACGCTGGGGCCATGGCCAGGCCGTGTGAGGCATCTTTTTAGCCAGGGAAGAGACAGGTAGATAGGAACTGGAGTACCCTGGTACAAAGGCATTTTCCCCATTTCTTCTAGATCCAGCGCCCTATAAAGACCAGCTGTCCTCAAAGGAACAACCCGGCTTTCTAGCCGGTCAGCAGCTCCTGAGCCAGGCGGGCCCCAGCAACCCTCCTGGGGGGCCCCCAGCCCCTTTGGCCCCCTCCTCCCCTCCTGTGACTGCTCTGCCCCAAGATGGAGCAGCTTCAGCCACCAGCACCATGCCAGAGCCAGCATCAGGAACTGCCATCCAGGCAGGGGGTCCAGGGACCCCTCAGGGGCCGACCAGTGAGCTCGAGACTTCTCAGCCACTAGTGGAGACTCACGAGGCCCCGCTTGCTGTGCAGCCCGTCGTGGTGGGCCTAGGACCTTGCGCTCCAGCTCCAGAGGCCGCCTCAACCAGGGAGGCCAGTGCCCTAGGGGAGCCCCTGCCAGCTCCTGCACCTGAGCCCAGCCCCCACAGCGGGGCCCCACAGCCCGCCTTGGGTCAGCCCACTCCCCTGCTTCCTGCCTCAGTGGGGGCTGTCAGCCTGGCCACTTCTCAGCTCCCAAGCCCACCCCTGGGACCCACCGTGCCCCCACAGCCACCCTCGGCCCTGGAGTCGGATGGGGAAGGGCCGCCCCCCAGGGTCGGCTTTGTGGACAGCACCATCAAGAGCCTGGACGAGAAGCTGCGGACTCTGCTCTACCAGGAGCATGTGCCCACCTCCTCAGCCTCAGCCGGGACCCCTGTGGAGGTGGGCGACAGAGACTTCACCCTGGAGCCCCTGAGAGGGGACCAGCCCCGCTCAGAGGTCTGCGGGGGGGACCTGGCCCTGCCCCCAGCGCCTAATGAGGCGGTTGCAGGGCGTGCCCAGCTGCCCCAGCCCTTGGTGAGTAACTGCCTTGTCCCAGAGACACCGCCCTGGGTCAGGGGCTGGAGCCCAGGCGCCAGCCCGGGGGTGGGCAGGCATCTCGACTATGCAGAGCCACCCTCACTCGGGGCCTGTCCCTCTCTTGATGTCCCACCCACGTGTGTCTGACTCACCCGTGCATGTTTTGCAACAAGTGGCCCCTGTTTGGGGTCATGCTTGTGCAGCGTCAGGTGACACAGCCCCATCCATGCACACAGAGGGACTGGGACAGTCCAGGGGCAGCTTGAGACGAGGGGAGTGGATTTGCAGATACAACTGATGAGATGCTGACGTGTGAGTCTCACAGCTCTTCTCTTTTTGTGTTTCTTTCTCCAGGTGGAAAAGTCAGAACTGGCCCCCACTCGAGGGGCTGTGATGGAGCAGGGCACATCTTCGTCAATGACAGGTAACAGCTTCCTGCTGAACCCTGCGTTCGCAAGGTGCTGCCCAGCTTCCTTGCCCCAGAACCTTCTGCATCCACATCCTCATCTTTCATCTTTTAAGGGATAAAAGCATTTCTTGAAGATCCTTTTATCTGTAAGGGATCCTTTAGCATCTAGGGTGGGGCCTAGACACAGCAGGAGCCCGTCATGATTTAATTCAAGCTTGTCCAGCCTCTGGCCCGTGAGCTGCATGTGGCCCAGGATGGCTTTGAATGGGCCCAGCACAAATTGGTAAGCTTCTTATGAGCTTTTCTTTTTCTTTCTTTTTTTTTTTTTTTTGCAATTTTTTTTAAAGCTCATCAGTTATTGTTAGTGTATTTCATGTATGGCCCAAGACAATTCTTCATCTTCCAATGTGGCCCAGGGAAGCCAAAAGACTGGATGCCCCTGGCTTAATTAAAACCTACAGAGTTCTAGAAGGAACCACATGCTAGCGCTCCAGAGAGAGGAAGTCCTCCGGGGAAATGGATAAAGCCCCGGTTGGTGGGTGCTGGGATGTTGCAGGGACTTGTCACAGTTCCTGGACTCTCCAGTGGCTGAGGGTCTGCACACGTTCCAGTGGATCCACCCCAGCCCTTGCTTTTCTTCAGCAAGGTAACAAGATGCCCACAAAAACCCAGGCTTACTTCAGCTAAAGCCGAGCAGTGCGCTGGGGGGCCCTGTGACTGCTGGGAGCGCCAGGGCCAGGGCAGTCCCTGAAGACCTGGTGCAGGGCTTTCCCTCGTGGCTCCTGGCTGCCACTGCTGTCTGTGGAAACGCCTTTGCTTTGCTTCTCATTTCATTACCTGCCTGCCTCGGTGTCCCTTCTAAGGGAGCTGGACTGATCTCGTGAGGTCTGAGCTTCCTTCTCAGCCCGGGCTTTCTTGGGGGATGGGCACAATATGAAGCAGGATTTCCGTGAGCCTCCTCACGGAAACCTCAGTGCACATCAGCCGCAGGTGGGACCCTGTAGTCCCGGGCCACGTTTATTTCCAGACTTTAAGAGGGCTTGTGGCAGCTGACACTGGGGTCAGAAGCTGTGTACTCAAGGAACTGGTGATGTTTAGCCTGAGGAAGATGAGGGACGGGGCAGAAGCAAGAGTGTCTTTGCACAAGGGTGGAAACGAGAGGTGGGTTGGAGTGCCAGCCCTGACCACGCTGGGCTGCGTGTGGCGCTCCTCTTCCTTTGGCCTCGTGCTGTGAGATGTGTCCGTCCCATGGGCCCCTTGGGCAGATGAGCAAACTGAGCTTCAGTAACATACAAATGCTATAACTTGTACTCCAAGTCCATGCTCTTTCCAAAGTGTGGAACTCATGGGGGAAGCTCCAAGGAGACGGATTCTAGTTTGGCAATAGTGACCTTTCCTGGCGGTTGGAGCCATTTAGAAGTGGAGAGAGTACATTTGACAGTGAGCCTCCTATCCCTGGAGGTGGGCACGGGGATGTGAGGAGGGGAGTCAGGTGTTGCCCACGGGTTGGGGACACGTGATAGGGACTAGATTTGGTCTCCTTGGGAATCTGATTTGGGTGTTGTTCCCTTGTGGGTTTCCAGTGGGGTGTGCAAAGGAGACACGTGTACATGTGCGGGCGGCCCCAACCTCCCCAGAGACTCCGTCTGCCCTGCCACCTTTCCTGCGGCCCATAGGTCTGGCTCATGCCCTGGCCTGCCCACGAGTTTCTTTTGTCACATGAGGGTCTCAGCTCAGGCGAGGCCCCCATGTCAACTTGCTTGGCTTTTCTGATTGCCTCTTCACGGCAACCCTGGGAAAGCTGGTCAGGAATAGCTCCCTAGACAGAGAGCACTGAAACAGCTGCAGGTGCAGTGGGTGACAGTTTTTGAGACACCCTGGGAGCAGGGCTGGAACCCGGCCCCGTTGATCTGTGTCGTGGGACTCTCTCACATCAGACGGTGGGGCGAGACAGGGTGCTGGCCTTCGGGTGCACAGAAGGCCTGGCTGCACGAGGGTGCCCGGGGCTGACGCCTCTTCTCTTGCCCAGGTTTATTGGGCATCTGTCATAGAATGCCATGGGGCCAAGACATCGTGGTGTATTTTCAGTTCCCAAAACTGCTGTGAGCACCCACAGCTGGCTCCTCCCAGTGCCCACTCCCGTTGTCCTGCCTGGCTGGCGGCACTCCCGTGGGGTCACTTTGGGCTGCTTTGGGTCAGCTGTGAGCCATCTCTGCCTCTTCCTCCTCCTTCAGCCCCAGTAACGTTTCCGATGTTCCCACAGCAGAGGCATCTCCCAAGAGCATGCTGGGCTATGACAGAGATGGAGGGCAGGTGGCCTCAGACTCCCGTGTGGTCCCCAGCGCCCCCCAGGTAAGGGCGACTTGACGACCCCCTGGCTGGTTGGCAGGGTTTGCTCTGTGCTGATGCTCACATGAAACCTCTTCATCTCCGCTTTTTCCCAAGGATGTACCTGCTTTTGTGAGACCTACACGCGTGGAGCCCGCAGACAGGGATGGTGGAGTTGCTGGAGAAAGCTCAGCAGAGCCCCCTCAAAGTGGCGTGGGCATTTCCACAGCAGGTGGTCAGGCCAGCCACCCCCAGACACTTGGCGCTCGAGCTTCGGGGTCCCCTCGGAAACGTACAGAGCAGCAGGATGTCAGCTCACCAGCCAAGACTGTGGGCCGCTTCTCGGTGGTCAGCACTCAGGATGAGTGGACCCTGGCCTCCCCCCACAGCCTGAGGTACTCCGCCCCTCCCGATGTCTACCTGGACGAGGCCCCCTCCAGCCCCGATGTGAAGCTGGCGGTGCGGCGGGCGCAGACGGCCTCCTCCATCGAGGTCGGCGTGGGCGAGCCCGTGTCCAGCGACTCCGGGGACGAGGGCCCTCGGGCGAGACCCCCGGTGCAGAAACAGGCGTCCCTGCCTGGGAGTGGCAGCGTGGCCGGCGACTTCGTGAAGAAGGCCACCGCCTTCCTGCAGAGGCCTTCTCGTGCCGGCTCGCTGGGACCTGAGACGCCCAGCAGGGCAGGCATGAAGGTCCCCACGATCAGTGTGACCTCCTTCCATTCCCAGTCGTCCTACATCAGCAGCGACAACGACTCGGAGCTCGAGGACGCTGACATCAAGAAGGAGCTGCAGAGTCTGCGGGAGAAGTAGGTCCTGCGGGCGGGAAGCGCCGCCCCCTACCCCGGGCCGTGGCACCGCTTCCCGGTTGTGAGGGAACCCTGGCACTGGGGCTGAAGTCCTGGCCAAGCAGCGCCCGCTTGGAGCTGTCAAGCAGGTGACAAGGGAGTGATGAAGGCTTTTGTTTTTGAGACAGTCTTGCTCTGTCACCCAACCCGGAGTGCAGTGGCACAATCTTCGCTCGCTGCAACCTCCACCTGCCAGGTTCAGCGATTCTCCTCCCTCAGCCTCCCGAGTAGCTGGGACTACAGGTGCCTGCCACCATGCCCGGCGGATTTTTGTATTTTTAGTAGAGACGGGGTTTCACCATGTTGGCCAGGCTGGTCTCAAACTCCTGACCTCAAATGATCCACCTGCCTTGGCCTCCCAAAGTGCTGGGATTTCAGGTGTGAGCCACCAGGCCCGGCCTCCCTGTGGTTTCGAGTAGGCAGTCTCCCACTCAGAGTCCTCCGGGCTGGGCCGGCCACCACCCTGCTGTCTGCCTGGCTTCTGGCTTCTCTGGATGCCACGCCTCCTGCTGCCCTTGGGGGTATGTCTTGGGGGATCGCTGAGGCATGTGTCTTCCTCACTCTCTCTGCCTCTCATCTGTCTCCTTCCCTCTTTCTTCTTTTCTCCTTCTCTCTCTCTCTTTCCCCCCTTTCATTCCTTCTCTCCCTGTCTCGCTTCCCCTCACTCTGTCTCTGCCACTCTCTCTATTCCTATATGTCTCTCCTTTCTTTGTCTCTGTCTCTCTCTCTGTCTCTCTCTCTCCCTCTTTCTCTTCCTCTCTCTTTCTACTTGTCTCTTTCCCTCATCCAGCAAATATTTATTCTGTCTTGCTGCAGCTGGGGGGTTACTGAGATGTCCTTCGGGATGGGAGGGCTGACACCAAATTCACCAGTGCCTGAAGGCACATTTGTAAGTCGCATCGTGTTGGAAATCACAGGCTTAGGTGGGAGGAGCCATGCACATCTCCTTTCTCTCCTACGAACCCTCTCTGCGCAGTGTGCACAGGGGCTAAGAGGCTGTCTGCCCAGGCTGGTGGGGTGGTCAGTGCCGTGCATTGAGGGTATAGTGAGTGTCTGTGTGTTCATGCAGAACTGAGGAGGGAACTGGAGCTGCTGGGAGAGGCAGGAAGGTAGGGATGGGTGGAATCACTGCTGATCTTAGAGGCATCCAGGAGGGTGGCCCCCATTGGCCACATGGCTCAACAGATTCTTGGTGGAGGCCAGAGAGTGGATGGGGCGCAAGGTGGGCATGACCTAGAACTTTTTGGGATAGAGGGCAGCAGATCCTGGGCACGTTTGCTCAGCAGGAATGTCACCCTGGGGAGACAGTGGTCAGAGTCAGCAGGAACAAAGGGGAGCTGAGATGTTGCCAAGCCACAGCCCAGCTGTGGCTGCTACGAAGAGAGGCTTGTTGGGGGCAGGAAGGTGTGGATGTGAAAACACTGGGGAGAGGAGCTGCTGTAGGCTCTGAGAGCCTCTATCCTGGGTGACAGGGGCCAGGAGCCAGAGACAGAGGGTAGAGATAATGGGGTAGGGACTAGAAATGGCAGAAGTGGTTGGGAGCCAGGGGCAGGTGGGGCCTAGGGAACGGGCAGGGAGAGGACCGGAAGGAGCGTAAGAACAGGAAGGTGGATGCTGGGAGGGCCGTGGAGTCCAGGGGGAATGGGGGGCTATTTAGGAGAGGGTGGGGTAAATTTTCAGCCTCAACTGGGAATTGAGGTGACTTGGCCTCTGATAGGCAGCAGCCAGCGGCTCCCCAACCTTCCTTTCATTTGAACCCTCTGGATACCGAGGTGCCTGTGCCTCACTGCAGCATGTCTGCCATGAGCGCTGGGGTTTCCTAGGACTCCAGGAGCCCTGTGCTGAGCCCAGGCTGCGCTTTCAGACGTCCCAGGCTGCAGGGCCCTGTGGTGAGCAGCCCGGGGGCAGCTTGGAGCAGTCAGGGCACCCCCAGTGTGGGAGCCACATTGCAGTCCGGGACCGTGGGAGCTGGGCCATGTGGGTGCGGCCTCGGAGCAGAGCCACCAGCCTGGATCAGCTCCAGCCTAGATAAGACGCTCCCCCGCCCACGTAGCCGTTCGCCAACCCTGGGGCAGTCAGCACTCTCTTGAAATAGTACTCCCTTCCAGAAGATCATCTGATGCCGCGTCTCCCTGGTGTTTGTAGGGAGAAAGCCGTTTGGAGTTTTGTTTTTATTTATTTCCTTTTTTTAGTAGAGGAAGTCATTTAAAAAAAAAAAAAAAAAAAGCCTATGTGGCGGGTGTTGAAATTCAGGAGTAAAATCAGAACTTGTTTCCTCATTTCCGACCTTGTGAACTACCTGTTTTCCTTGTCATCAAAGGAAGAGGAGGGGCACTTGGGGTGAAGGCAAGGGTTTACAGGCCTCCAGCCAGGGCCCCTGGGGTGGCCTTGGGCCTTGCAGAAGCTCAGAGCACTGTGATGCAGCAGGGAGGCCCAGCTCCTCCCCTCCCCATCCTCTCCTCTCCATCCTCCCCTCACCTTCCTCCCCTCACCCTCCTCCCTTCACCTTCCTCCTCTCTCCATCCTCCCCTCTCCATCCTCCCCCCACCTTCCTCCCCTCACCCTCCTCCCTTCACCTTCCTCCTCTCTCCATCCTCCCCTCACCTTCCTCCTCTCTCCATCTTCCCCTCACCTTCCTCCTCTCTCCATCTTCCCTTCACCTTCCTCCCCTCACCCTCCTCCCTTCACCTTCCCCCTCTCTCCATCCTCCCCTCTCCATCCTCCCCTCACCTTCCTCCCCTCACCCTCCTCCCTTCACCTTCCTCCTCTCTCCATCCTCCCCTCACCTTCCTCCCCTCACCCTCCTCCCTTCACCTTCCTCCTCTCTCCATCCTCCCC